GATGGCTTGGATTTCATTCACAGACTTGGGGAAGATCTAACTCTTCTTACTTATTCACAATCCACACTGAAGTGGGCGCCGACAGCACGCTCCCAGGCACTGACCTCTGTCATCACTACTTTCCTTAAACCCGGGCATGACCTATACTGCTCTAGCAAGGAATTTGTCAACCTGCAACATGTCCACACATGCTGTTTTTAATACCTGGAAGAAAACCACAGAAGAACAAACAAACAAAAGAATCAGTGTAGGCTATTGTTTTAAGTTGAAAAGTACGAGAATCTTAAAGTGTTTCAGTTTATTTGTTTAGATATACTTTTGTCACTTCGGTAAAGTCAGCTTCGTTCTGTCTGTGTCCGAGAACGCATAGCTGCATGCTTGGAAAAATGGCTTTCCGCTTCGCAAGAACCGCAGGGCATAGCCAGACAGAACTCCCAACTCGTCCACCATGGTGAGGGAAAGGATCCCTCTCTGAGAACCAGAATGGCGGGTCTAGGAAGCACATCCATAGCCGCCAAGTGACACCCACCCATCTCTTCCACAGGATCACCTGCCAGGTAGGGAATCCATGAGCAACCTGTTTCTCTGCAGTTCGTAGGCAAGCGTAACGAATACGCCCCCGCGCATAATAGGGATCTCAGCCTCCCGGGCCGAGGGAGGTCTCCTTTAGCTCAGCCAGCAAGTTCCCTGTTGCGTGACTCCGGAGACCCGCGTTCGAGCCCAGGCAGTGAGGGATGAACTGGCAGGGCAGGAGTGGCAAGGCTGGAAGAAAGAACAAAGAACCGTTACACAAGGTATGGGTTTAAAGCCTGACAGCTAAACAAGTCTTGCCGGAAACAGCCAGAAATGCCAGAACAGTCTTTTCTAGATTGAAGTACTGTTCAGAGGTGTCGCACAAAAATCTACAAGTATGTTTCTGTATTTTAATTATTTGAATGTATAGTCAGTATAGTTAGTTAGGAAAATACTATTTATAAATGATTGGGAGTCCCATTTCAGAATTCCCGTACAGACTGAGAGACCGCTGGTGACTTCCATACAGGTTTTGATATCCCACTAGTAACCTGACTCATCTTAGAAATACACTTTTCTGTTTTTTCCTGATTACTTAGCTTTGTCATGTGTTTTTGATATTGGGAGCGAATCTGTGACCCCAAGACCAAGACTGCATCAGTGCAATAGAAACACAAGGCCCCTCCACTGCCCAGAGGCTCTGCATATCTTCACCTGCCGAGAGTCTGGACAGTAACCTATTCAACAGGGGTTCTGCTAAGCAATCGCATGCCGAGCGAAACTGCAGTCCCTGCAATCCCTGGTGAATATTGGTTTGACTTGCTGGCTTACCTGGGTAAACCATGGAAAATGCCAGATGTTTTGCCATTGTACAACAATGCCTTGAGGTCCACTATTTCTGAACAGCGAGACAGATTATTTTATTACAGGACTTCTGTTTTTAGGGGCTTGGTGCTCTGAGATAAAGGAAAATATCAGTAAAAATCATTTTTTTAATTACACATGCTCACAAGAGCAACACAATTTGAAAGCTCTGTGTTTAAGTACAAGTATATATCCCACGTAACTTTTTTGTACCTTAATGAACATGCTGGTGCACTATTTGTAATATTGTATTGAACTGCCGTTTAAGATTCTGGGTACACAGTGTTTAGAATTGTCTGTGAACAAGCTGTCAAATACTTAACACTACAGTCCCAGCTGGGGTGGAACTGAACAGTACAGTGATGAATGCTTTGACTGTTGATTTACTAAAAATCACACATAGTTTGTAAGTGTAGTCCAAACTTCAATAAAGCATTGAAATGACATTATTCCCCAGACTTTGCAAAATCGGACATCCGGTGTATCTTCACCATTTTAAAATGCTGCATTGATGTGTTGATTCTGCAGAAGGTAGCTTGTCAGGTCAGCAGCATCAAGAGTCCTTGAGACAGGGATTTTAGTTAGACCTGCAGAGGTTGAGATAAGGCAGCTGGCAGTTGGAAGTGAAACTCTTCTTTATCAGGGGATGCAGTTCCTGACATTGTTTCCATCTAGATAAAGGTTTCAGATTGGAGAAGTAGCTAGCCTGATATGTGTTAGCCAAAGGGCTGTGGACAAGTTGCACACATTTCGCACAGAGTCCTGGCACACACCAACAAGAGACACTGACATAGCCACCTTTCCTACATGAGAACGGTTAAAGACAATGCTTCAACAAGGATTACCTCAAACAATCCGTGGGGCACCCATGACTGGTCAAGGGCTGTCAGTGTCACGACAAATTATAGCACAATGACAAGGACTCCCCTGCATAGCAGACTGCATGTCAGCCTGGATTATTAATCTGAAACAAAATCAACTCAAGGACATGCTACAACATGAGCACTACCTCAAGCATACTGGTACTGTATATCAGTATAAAGTGTTCTAGTGACAAAACATTCAGATTTGAAAACCACTGACTTTGATGTTACAATATTGCTCATCTGGGCTAAAATTAGAAGCTTGGTGTCTCATTAAATGTAATTAATTTCATTCAAAATTAATTTACATCAAGGACAAACTGAGTACAGATCCGCATTGTTCAGTCTGTAAAGACCCAGCAGGAAGACCTTTTCACAAGAATGTGGATGAAGGGAAAGGAGGATACTTCTCTCACAGACCAGAGATACAGCACCACAGCAAGGGACACAGAAGCCAGCTCTTGTGCTGCTGGAGAGATGGTTGATTGAATCACTGCATGGACTGTGCACTGAAGATAACCAAAAGCCAGAGTCCCCCAGCCACTGTAAAGGATCGGAAACACAGGAAAGAAATCCCTGTCCTTTGTATTTCTGCTTTTATCAATAACAAAGTTTCTCTTTTGTAATAATCCCTCCATCCATTTTCTAACCCCTTTATCCAATGCAGGGTTGCTGGAGCCTATCCTGGCAAGCATGGGGTGCAAGGAAGGACCTCTGTAATATTATCCATTCAAAATACAGTGCTTTTGCACAATTCTGTGGAAACCCTTTTTTTCAGCACATTTGATTACAAAAGTTTCATCACTTAGGAAACCTGCTTATCTCTTAGGCTTCTCGTATTTTAGTAACGCACATGCTGGCGATATCATCTTTGTATTATCTCCATTCCACATAGGGTATTTGCAAAAAACAATGGCATTCACAGGTGTGAGACTTCACCACCTGGTACAAAAAGTGCAGATATTTGGAACATAAAGGGCTATTATTCATCTTTGCTTTATACACGTAATTCTGCTAGCCCTAATTTCAGATACCAAGTTAATTGGGAGATTTTTTTAGACTGTGCAACTATGAGTTGATTTTTCATAAATGTGTACTTCTAGGTAATGTTGTTGTGTAATGCTTTTATTACAGTCACAGTGAGTCAGAGAATGTTGAGCCATGACCAGAATTAACCAGGTAGAACTCAGAAAAGTCTCATTGTTTTAAAATTCACATGGGTCTTACTCTTTCTTTCTAGAGCTCTTTTCTTGAGGCAATGCAGGGAAATTTTTGATGGCACCCACCTTTGATTTTACAGTTAAAAATATACTGTTAGGAAAAATGGAAAATTCAAACATAATCCTGAATATAAAACCAGAGTATGTGAAGAATTTATGAGGTATAATTAGATTCTATCAAGCCTTAATGGCACATATAAACAAAGACAAATGAGAGATTTCAAGCTCTCTTTTCGCGTATGCATTCTGAAAAGTATGCAGAAAACTGTGGTAAGCCGAGCTTAGTGTTCTCAAATGTTAGAAAGTACACAATAGAATGAAAAGCAGGCTTTGTAACACTAGTCATTCTTTTGCAATGTTTTTGCATTTTGACTTAAGCTATGGGAAAAAAACTAATTACAGTCATTTCAATCTGTGTTTTCTACATGTGATGGTAAATGTTTTATCAGTTAAAGTAAAACATGGGTAAGAAAATCACTCATATCAACTTTCAGACTGATGTAGCAATTCACTGACAACACTGTCTTTTTTTCAGTGTTTTGTTTTTTCAGGCAGAAAAACAGTGAAAACACAAGCGCAGACTAAGCATGTTTCTGTGTTTTCAGTCAATGAGGTTTCTTGTTTAATGAGCAGGGACATAACGGTGCTTCATGCAAAATATCTGGTTTTCAAAGCAAAGACGAAACAGGGGGACAACACAGTCAAGTAAAGTAGAGGTTTTGTCACTTAGTCTGAAAGTCTTTCTTTTTGAAAGGGCTTTGGGCTAAGGTGTCACTTCTACAGGACAGCTGAAGCACCTAAACTACTCTAAAAAAACTTGCAGTTGTTTTTAAGAACCTATGGGATTTTACTTAGATCATCAAACTGCAGAATCAGGCTTTTTCGGAAACACCTCCCTTCGCCTTTGTACGCACTTGCACTTGCAAATATTTTTAAAAAGTGCATCTCGTTTAGGACTGTGATAAAAAGTAATATTCAGAAATAGGTTGTTTAAATGAAACGTATTTCCTACAGCTACAGTACTTGCTTGTAAAAACACTGAAGTTTCAGATGTGGAATTAAGTTTTTCATAGAAAAGGAATCAAAATATGCAATTTGTGTAAGTAAAGGGGCTTATTCACTTGGGATAAACAGGAATCTAAAACAAACTCTCTCCTGATCGTAAACATGAAATGATATAATGGTATTGTGCATATCTGAACTTTTTTCTTTATTAATATAAATGTGTATTTAGAGCCTGCCACTCATAAAATCTGTCTATGCAGTTGGACTACAAATGTGTTGTCCATAAAAGTTTAGATAACATATAAATTACAGTATGTAAGTCTTACAAAAACACAAATAGTTTTGCAGCAAGGTTTAAATTATTATTAATAACAGTTTACGGAAGAATTTCAATGTTTCTCTCTTTGTAAATGTCCGTTTTACACATGCCTGAAGTCAATGTCACTGCTATGGTATGACTCTACCATAACTGTCTTTACAAAAGAAGGCACCCATTTTACGAAATAAATGACAAACACACCTTTGAAGGCAAATGTACCTGAGATCCCGAAATTTATTTCAGTAAACGGCTCATTCGGAACAACAATGTAACAGCAAATCCCACATTTAAATTGGTACCAAAAATATATATATATTTTAAAAAATTACTCATCTTCTTTTAATATTTCATTTTAGTCCGCAGTCGTTAATGGATTTCAAAAGTTATTTACTTCAATTTCCACAAACTATGTACATTTTATTATGAAGCAAAAATAGTGATCTATTGCACTTAAAAAAAAATAAAAATGCACTTCTTTGATTCTTTGTGAGAGTCTCCACTTTAAGTGTACTCAGCCAACAATAGTAATTTTATTAATAGATGTGGTCATCTTTCTCGGTACATGAATATGCTTCCCATTATCTGTTATCAGAAATGATTTTTTGTAGCTGCAAAACACAGTGCAAACAACCTGCTTTTTCTTCTGTTTCACAATTTCCTTAACCCTGTTGCACAAAGACAAAATGTTAAAATCTTAAACCTGAACGTCAGAACTGTGGATTTATTTCATTTTACATTGTTACAGAAAGAAAAAAAAAATAACATTGTGACTTCAATAACTTGTATTGAAAAAAATACTGGATCATCTAGAACATTTTTATTGAGTTTAACTTTAAACATTAATCCTCCTCTAAATAAAATAAAACTTTTCTTGTTGTCCTTTGTAATCAATTCACTAAGGTGTTTTGTGCCTCTAACATTTTACCAGGTTTTGATTTGTAAAACTATTACTTAAAGGTGAAATAATTAATATAACACAGGAAGTGTTCTTCCAATCAGAGTAACCAAAAATTACACAAGAGTGCACATCCTTGTAAATTTAGAAACTAAAAAAACTCTTTATTCACATACATGCTGTGCTGAATTCACCATTTCGACTATGCTTTTTCTAGAAATTATTTGGTGTGTATTATTTTTTTAGGCCCATATAATCTGGGGTGATAATGTTTTTGCAATGTTTTAAACTGGTTTTTCAGCTTTTTCCTGATGAAATGAGATGCAAATACCAAATGGGATTTTAAAGCCAGTCAATGTATTTAAACCAAAAAATCCCGTATTCATTTTCTCTTCTGTTTTGCCAGTACTATAATGAGTCCAGGAATGAGAAAAAAAAAGTTTTGCAAAGTTGGACTGTGACATTTAAATGGAGGGGAGTCAAAGCTGGAATTGAAGGTATGTGAGCATTCAAATTAAAAAAGTAAAAATAATCAAAGAAGCCCTGTACTCCTTAAAAATGCTTTTTATTCTTCAAAAAGAAGGAAGGCAAAGACTATACCTTTCAGGACTGATGGGAGCATGTTGAAAGAGGGTGTTGACTTACTATAGTTCTCTGAAAACCTCTAAGTATGAACAGTGAATTACTGGAGGAATAAAAATATGTAATGACCATAAAAATGAAGACTATCTCCATCTTTGTCTCTGTACAGACAAAATGTACTTTTAATCCAATAACCCACATACCATACACCGACAGAAATGATAGGAATTACATTGATCAATAAAATATTAACCTTTTATCAGTGCTTCTTAAATCATCAATGCCCTCTCCACAGAGCCAAAGCTACTGTGTTTACTTAAAAACTAGTTTGCTCCCCACTAAGCTGTTGTATACTTCAATAAAAGTGTAAAATGCCTCATGAATCCTACATCTAACAACCTTAAAAATTAAGAGAATGCATGGCATTTTTCTTTTTGTAATGTCTACACAGGAGTTTTTGAAACCCCAAATGTTACTTCTGGTTACATGTTAAAATGTAAAACAAACCTTTTTTTAAAAAATAATATGATGCATCTTAATAATTACATACCTAACCAAAACTTTCAGCCTATCATAAAAAAACAACATTTGCAATATGCGATATATATTATTATTAATTTAAGAATATGTACAAAATAAAAACACATATATCTGCATCATTTAGAAAGCACAGGAAACAGGCAATGGTGCCATGGTCCCCTTCCTTCTGATGAATAACAGTACCTTTTCAGTTGTTTTTCACGCTCTTACATTAATAACGTACAAAACTACATTTTAAAAAAAGTTGTAAACAGGTTTTAAAGCCAGTATATTAGCAACAAGACAAGCCCTTCCCACATCATGCAAAGTGTGAATACTGATAAATTCAGTGTATAACGAACCGCCTAACTGTGCGCATCGGAGAAAACACCAGCCTCTACTTGTGCATCAAGTGAGCAGAGAAAAGGTTCGAAGGAGAAATGCTGGTGGTTTGCAAGATAACTGTGGTCTGGAAAACAAATACATTAATCACACTGTATAAATGAACACATGGCCTATACACTGAATTTTATTGGAAATAATGCCAATGTCAAAGACAGAGATACCTACACAAGAGACGCAGGTAAACCCATAGATAAAACTACAAAAAAGAGCTAAAGAAAGCTGGGCAACGGGCAAAGGCAATTAATGTGTGCCTTACCTGCCAGACTGGGCACTACATTGCCATACACGCCTACTGAGTTTGAACACTAAACTACCCTGATTATTCACCTTCCATTAACCAGAAGAAGTGCCTGGCATAAAGTGCAATCTATTATGAGTAGAAACGATATCATGGGTATAATGATATGCCAGATGCTGATGTGTTTCATCCATAATGCTCCGTTACAAAACAATGCCAAATCCCTGCACATGGCTACTAAGCAGCTTAAAGTGGCTAAAGGGTTATGTGTTAGTCAGTATGAACACACCCCTTTCCTACATCATTAAAAGTCTTTCCTATTTTTACCATTTTAATGTTTTTTTTTCTATCTTTAGTCTAATTAACTAATCATGATCTAGGACAGTAATCCCCTTGAAGCTAATTGATTATATTCAAAGGCATATTTAGCCTTGCATATTCAAACTCCTCTGAATAACTAGTGTACTTTCCAGCTCGTTTTTTGCCCAGTATGCTACAAGCTTTCTGTGTCGGTCATCTCCGCGATTGACAAAGATACATCAAAACAACAATAAACTATTCAGATTAGTCAAAGATCCAAACAAGGACAAGATTGTTGACTAGATACCCAGGTTCTTTGCTTGGCTGTAGTCTGATCTACAAGGAGCATAATAAAAGGGCTCTCTTAGTGCCACTTCATAGTATTCTAATCCTTAATGTAAATATCTTCCCAGGAAGCAATGGATCAAGTCTAGGCTCACTCAACAGTTTTCTAGGCAATTTGTTTCTAGACAAACTATTCCTATTCCTATTCCAAAGATAAATGCCCAGCCATGTGTTTATTAAGTGCACTGGAAGGAGATTTTACATGGAACCCCAGTTCATACAGTATGAATGGCTAGTCTACAGGTAGCAAAGGAACAGGTAAAGGTCTACTCCATGCTGAAGCAAAAGAAAAGAGGTTCAACTTTTCGGCTGAGGAGCCTTCTTAATGACGCCTAAAGAAGGACCCACCGTCAAAACGTTGTGTCTCTTTTCTTTTCTTTGTTCCTCTGCAGCCTACACATGCTGACGCAGCTGCTCGAACTTACGTCTATAGGTATACTGGGATTAAACAAATTAAGTGACTTTACTGCATTTAACAACTTAAGGTTTGATAGAACTTTCAAATAAATGTAGGAAAGGAAACGAAAAGCGATGCTTTCCAAGTGTTGTTGAGATATTTCTTGCCTTCCTTTTTTGACATTCATATCATTTTCTAATTTCATTTTTACGATCGTATATTCAGTCAATTCTGAACTCAATAATTCATAACTACAGGTGCTGAAAATAATCCAAAGGCTTGTGAGATGCTGGGACAATCTACCCAGCCATGTTCTCCAAGAGATGTTGACCACAACTAGCAACTACATTAGCAACTAAATAGGAAAGATGGGCTGAATGTCACCACTGTTCTTGTACTTTATATAGTCTCTGAGGGCTGATGATGTAGTTCTGAGAGTCTGAACAGTTCAGTTTGGCTCAGTTTAGCTTAGTGATCAGATTCACCTTCATTGAGTAAATCTACTCCTCCCTCACTACTCATCACTACAACCTGGGTATAAGGTTCCAGTTGGTTTCTTAGAAATGAGGTTTCACAGTAGCTGATTCTCCAAGAGAGTGAGGTAAGTGGAAAATACATTTTAGAAAAATTCTAAACATTCTAAAAGTCTTCCGTAGCCATGAGATTAACTCCCATTCTTTTTAATCTATCACTATGAAAACACTTTGTTCATTGACAGGGTACAATAACAATATAAATCAAAATCTGTAAAGGGTATGTTATTGACGTGGAATATGAACTTCACTATAAAAGTCAATATAAAGAAATCAGTTATTATTCGATTCTGGAATTGGAAAGAGTTGCCACTGAAGGTGAGGTAAGACTTACTCTGCTATGTTTAGATGTGTGCACACTGAAAAGATTTTTCTTCATTCTGTTGTTAAGGAAGGTTTTGCATTTAAATATAAAACTGATGATTTGGATATAAGAAAAAAAGAAAACAGTGATTAATTTGGGGCTGAAAGAGAAAGCAAAGAGCACTGATCTCTAGCTTGATGTTTTGTTGTTTCCTTGAATGTGTTAAGCAATTAACAATTATTATGGAAAGCAACTGTAAATGTGTAACTCTGAAAACTGTCTTGATGGAAATGTACCTATTATCAACTAGGAAGAACAGACAGAACAATATGGTAACATTCATGCTCCAAGTGTTCTCAACAAAATAATAACAGCTAAGTACCTGTTGTTAAATAATCTATTTATTGCAAGTAGTACCCATAGACCAGTGTCATCCAAAAAGACTACCTCCTCCAATATCACACATATATATATATACAATAAAAAAGAAAACCCTTGGCTTATCTAGGGTTAAGAATCCTGTTGATGAGAGATTGTGGATTCTCACGTTTTGACCCAACAGCAGCCTAGGGAGAGCTACCAACGGAGTCGTTTTCTAAATGACACTGCCAGCAGCCAAGTGTGTCAATCCAGGTACATTTTGGAAAATAGTTCTACATAACACATACCGTATGCCGTTGTTGAGTGACATACAGTATAGGAGAACAATCCCATTTCCATGAAAGCGAGTTTGTTTTAAATTAAAAAGGAAGCACCATGTTACTTATGAAAGACCCCTGATTCATAATAATGCTCTAGGACAGCAAGAAAATAGATCATACCATGAAGGAAGAAATACCCAACTTTACCAAACCTAAGTCTACAGTTTTATCACCCCATTGTTTTCAAACTTGCCTGGGGAGAATTTCTAGGTGTGAGGGTTAGCAGCTTGAATACCACCAAATGTTAACAAATATGTTTCCTTGTCTATTTTTGTATCAAAATATAACTGCCTAGTAACATTATCAACTCCCTGCTGACAGTGTACCTGACATGGCTTTAATATTGCTTCAAGGCACTTTTAAGGATGTTACCACAGCAACAGTTCGCCAGTTCTACATAAATATAAAAATAGCAATAGGTAAAGATAAGTGATACAACTTCCATAGCACAACAGCCTATCATGTGTTAGCATATAAAGCCTACCATGTAATAAGCATGAAAATGCCTCTAAAAAACACAGTCAATGGCTGTTTCTACAGCTCTTCAGCAGGCATGCCTGAGGTCCGCATGTGCTTCAATATTTGACACAATGATGACATCACGCTCTGCTAACATCATCTGGAAGCTCCACAAGGAATTCTTACATATACCCGACATTTTAAGCTGTAAACTGCAAACTCGAAAGGACACCATTTTATCGAGGAGAAGTGTTTTTAGAGTGTAATAAGAGAATGAATGCAACAGAAATTCCTGTTTATAGCTGCTCTGGCAATAACAGACATTAGGTGCAAGTGTAAGAGGACTTCAACAAGTTCACTGAAAAATTGCTTTTTGGAAATAAAGAGGATGAATGAACTAGCAAACCCAGCTTGCTTCCCATACCCATCCCTGTCCCTTCCCCAATTTCAAAAGTCTTTCATACAACAGAATTTCATACAACGTACGGATAAGTCACTGACCTAGGCCTTCATAAACTGGTGCGTATAAATGCATATACACGTATCTATATATACGAGTACCTATATGTACTAAAGACCTTTTAAAACTGCAGCACCAAAAGCAGTTGGTCCACCTCCTCCTGGGCTGGGATGATTTCAAAGTTCTCTAATACGCACATGAGCAAACACGGACATGCACAGACGTGCGCGCACAGTCACTCCGTCTTCTTATTTCTCCTCCGGCTGCACACCTAGTGAAAGGTGTGTTCCCCTCTGACAATGTGCGAGGAGAATTCATAGCGGTCTTGGCTGCGGTAGCCACAGATGTTGCACTCCAGAGGGTCCCTGTATCCATGGCAGCCCATATGGATGGTGTACATGACGTGGTCGAGGAAGAGAACCCGACAGTGCTCACACTTGAAGGCCTTCACCTCCACGCCCTCCCCGGTGAACACCCGGAAGGAGTGTTTGGAGGGGCCTAGAGAAGAGGCAGCACTTGCTGCGGCCGCCGCCGCTGCCTCCACTGCGGCCTTGCTGATGGCTTCCAGACCCCGGGCATCATCCTTGCTGTAGCCTGGGCTGGACTTGGTCCTGGCCTGGGAGGCCTTGTTTCCAGGATACACGTGGCGCTCCTCCGGACTGCTGCTCTCTGAGTCAATGGAGTCTAGGCCACTGTTGCTAGGCGACCCCTCACGCTCAGCTGGGGGGTTCTTTGGTCTGATGAGAGAGATGGGGCCATCTGTAGAGAAGTCGTGGTTCGCTGATGGGGCTTCTCGGCTGCTGGGCCTCTCCAGACGGCCCGGGGGGTAGACCTGAGAGAAGAGTGGGTTCATCATAGGAACCACATCGGCCATCGAGAGGTGCTGAGGGTGCATAAGGGGGCGCAGGGAGTCGGCCCCCAAGTAGGAGATGGCGTTGTTGATGGCCTGGTCCATCATATGTGCCTGCATGAGCTCCGCGTCCTTCTCGTACTTCATTCCGATATCATAGCGCATCTCTGGGTAACTGTACCGAACCAGCTTCTCACCTGAAATAAGATGGAAAATCATTTTGGACCATCTTTTGGAGGAGGAAAGGGGCAAAATATCAATTCCAGGGCTTCTAAACTAATGAATTTGAATGCATGGTTATTTTTTTAATTGCTACAGAGTTTGCAAGTTTCCTTCCAAGTAAAATGGTGAATTTCATATTATAAAATGATATATATAATGATATACGTATATATAATGCTACTTATTTATACAAACTCTTTTGTACGTAAAAAAATTAAATAAAATTAGTATAAACTTGAACGGAAATGAGCCTCTTATACAAATAAATCCTTTAAATACCACAACGTGCAGGATGGACTGGGCAGATAAAAATCAACTATACTGAATCAAAGACAGACAGAAAACAGGAAAACCATGACTTTCATCACATAACACACAATTTCAGGAGGCTGATTCAAAATCTGGAACAGTGTTCTGCAACAGCACTTTATTTTAGCACAATTACCAACTTTACATTGATATCTGTCATTCCGATCAGAGTTCTAAAATGGAAATATTGCACCAAATATCACTCTTCACTGTCACAGCGTTTCTTAAAAATAACCTAAAAAATGTAAACAGTTATGATTATAATAAATAATACTCCAGACATTGCATGTCTATACATTCCAAAGGGCTTTATGGATAAGATGTAATATGGGTATTCAATTAAAAAAAAAATGTAAAACTTAAACTTCTTTATTTCAAACATTAAAGCTGTAACAGAAGTAGATTCTATCCTCCTTAGTGGAAGAGATAAAAATATTAAAAGGGATTTATAAATATGTTTTTTTCATTTTTCCTTTTCATAATGGTGCAATAATGTCCTTTCTACTGAGATTAGTTCAAAGTCAAGTGACAGGCAATACAGATAAATCAATTTTCTTATCAAAATATCCCTCCTTTACCACAATTAATTTTAATTTTAATTTCTAAACCATTTAGGCAACTTTATGACACAATGTAAAGCCATAACTTCTTCCCTAACTTTTAAAATCCCATATGCATTTTTTAAATATATGTGTGATGACTGAAATCAGGCAGTTTCTTCCTTTCAGCCATCGGGAGACTGAAATCCCTGGATATCAGCATAAAAAACACAACATATCAGGAAAGCTGTTTTGCCAATATTTTAAGTGAAGGAATGTTCATGGGGTGCAAGAAGAGCAGTGCGAGAATACGTTCTTTATTGTGTTTTGTTGTTTTTTATGTTTACTCGAATTACAATGAATAACACCACTATAACTGCTTCAAACACACAAAATAACAACATGCACAATGCTTTATAACCATTTGTGCAAATGCCATTACAGGCGCATAGCTATTCATAAAGGCTTATAGCACTGTGTTATTAATTGACTTATGAAAACCATAATTTCGGTATTGATTTATTACATTTTCTTAAATTATGAAGTTGCATGGAGTTATGGCGGTGCTATTTAGCGTTTAATACATTTAGTCGTTTGATACACATCGTGCTTTTATATTTGTGCCTTTATTGTGCATTTTATTGGCCATGGGGTTATAATGGTGGAAAGCCCCGTGTGAGCAAAATAGCCCAAAAGAAGTGTTTAACCCTTGCAAAACGTGGATGCGGTAAGATGTTTTGCTTTTCTCAAAGTACAGGCTGCAATGGCAATGCTACAGGTGTGCCAAACCACAATAAAGTGAAAAACAGGTCTTTTTTTCAGCTCTGCTTCTTTTTCTCTTTCAGCAAAGAACTTGGTAACGAGATAAGAAACAGAACTCTAATAAACAAGAAAGGAAACAGAGAATACGTACAACGGGGGACAGGGAAAGAAGGGCAAAAATGTCCTGACTTGTCCCCACCCTGCATAAAAGCAAACTCACATTTATGGATCAATCGGTCCTATTCTTAAACTACTGCTCTCTGTTTCTTCGACTTATTTTGTATACTTTGTCCATTTAAAACGGTGAAGCCTGTCTTTTAAAAGTCTACAATACTTTTGTCAACATTAGATAAATAAAATAAAACAATGTACATAATGACACACGAGGAAACATTCTCATTGACTGAATGTATCATAATACAAGCATTAATAATGCACTTGGTTTGTGGGGATGTCAACCAGGAACATTTGACAAATTAAAGCATGACAATCTCAAACATCCTACAAAGCAAATCAATTTAAAAAAAGACTAACCCCTTTCAGTCTGACCGAGGGAGCTGCCCACTCCACACTGGTCAGGAGGCAGGATGGTGAACTGGGACCAGCTAGCACTAAACTCCATCTTTGCACTACAAGGGCAAAGCTCTACTAAGTATTGACCGAAAAATATCTCCATTCAGACTTAAAAAAATAATTTAAACAGAAACCTTTACAAGTACATAACGTATACACAGAAGGACACTAAAAATGTGACAAAAGAGAACTGAGTCCAATAACACTTGTTGCATTTGTAATGCCCCTCTGTATCTAAAGAATATATATATATATGTTATTAAAATTAAATATCAGAAATATATAAAACAGAGAACATTTCTCTCTCGTTGATTCTAGCTTCATTTCTGTGATTGCAAAAACAGAATACTGTATTTCTCTCTTAATTTCAGTTGGAAATACTGAAATGCACTCTTTACACTGTTTGCCATTTCTGGTGGATTTTCCACACTTGTTTATCATTAACAAAAAAATTAAAATAAGGATGTCTTTTGCATTAGCTTGTTAGTTTTACTTAGTATTTGCTTCCATTTTTTAAGAATAATTTCTTATTTTTTCATTTGGATATTCATCATTCTCCCTCCCACGTTTTTCTTATCCTGATCGTGCATTCAGCTATGTTGCTCGACAAGTCAAATTTCCTTCCCCTCCTCAGTGCTTAGAGCCCTCAGACAAGATTGGCCACTGGGGCCGAGAGAAACTCAAATGTGCAGTATCGCAGAGAAACCGTACTCTGCAGCAAGTCATTTAAAAAACATGAGATATTTCTCTCCATTTCAGATTTACAGTTAAAAATACAGATGATATGATACATTATGAGAGTAAATCATGAAAATGTGAAATAATCCTGTTTTTATAAATCAGAAGGAAATGGGCCGTTCCAGCCTGCTTCACTTTGCCTCAGCCATTCATTAGTGAAACAGAAACTTCACACAGCAATGTGCAGAACACATCAAATGTTCTGACATCACTAACCCATAAGTGACAGAATTAAATAGAATTTGTTCATAGTGAAATTTCCTGCACAGCACAAGACCAGCAAAATAGCTTTTCAAACATTTAAACATCAGTGGAACAAAAAATAAACCTTGATTTCAAAACTACTCACTGTTTCTCAGAAGACATTTTTCATTAGAATATATATACCTGTACTGTATGTATATTTATGATATGCACAATTATGCTTTGAAAACATACATGTGATCGCAGAGTTGTATAGGAAGATAAAAACCATAAATATGGTAAAAATGAAAGACTAACGCTGTGTGACTAAGTGTATGTGGTACTGGAGCCTGAAACTTCCATCATTCAATTACTCATGTTGCGGTGATGATATTCTCCAAATATTACAAGTATTGCCTGTATACGTTACTCATCCACTTTGAAATTAAAAGGGACCTGTTTTTTCAGTCACCCACATGAAACACAATAGCAAGCTTAAGCTTTTGTTGACAGTCCACTATTCAACAAGACCGTCATCTCTGTAAACCTCTACAATAGCATTTATCATATAGGTACCAAGACTGAACATCATGGCCACACTTACCCACAAATTTCTGTGGTGTGGTGCTCTTTCTTTTACCCACATTGCTCTGCAGCCTTTCGATCACAGGTGGCCTGTCAAAAGGCACTATCGACATCCCTTCCATCATGGACTGCTGCTCCTTTCCTGTGTCACCTAGGTTTCAAGTAAAACAAATTTCACATTTACTGATCTGGAACAATCCTGAACCTTCTCCAAATATCAGGTTTCAATGGAAAGTCACAACTAGTGTTATTCCTTCTGTAGATCTTAAAAACATGCTGTATTGCATCTTTCAAGCTACATTCAGATAACGATTTAAGACTTCAACACAGATGCAACTTTTCATTTTAAAGTGAACTTTTCGCAAAGCAAGTCTTGTAGACTTAAGCATCTTTAATGCAAAAATGAGAAGAAGTAACATATATTCAAACATTTATATATATTATAATATATAATCAAATACAAAATGTATTAATGTGCTGCATTAAAAACAAATGTATATCTTGCTGGAATCAAGCATGTCTTAAGCTAGCTGAAGGGTGAGACTTTATCAGCTACCAAGATATCCAAAAATCATCTTTGATACCCATTCCACTGTGATGTGTCAGCATACCTTGTTGTAGTCCAGCGTGGGGCACAGCGTCCATACTGACACTCTGTAGGTAGTTGTGACAGCGCTCTTTGTGCTCCTCCAATGACGTGCGCTGTTTGTAGCTCCGCCCACAGTAGTTGCACTTATGTGGCTTGCCCACTGTGGAAGAAGCCAAAGCCCAGTCATTTCAATCCATGTTGTACCTGTTCTGCATTATCTTTAATCGGCTGAGGGCCACAGCACCAGACAGTGGCTAAGATAAGCTTCAAAGAGCAGTGAATTGCCAGCAGTCATTCAGAATGTTTGGAAAAGATCATAACAGAAGAGCTGATTGACAGAATAAATTTAGTAGATACAAGTAGCGAGACTATTTAAGAAAAAAAATCTAGTAGGAGTTGCGTTGGTGGTGTCTGGTTCAACGATTCAATGACTCAACAATCCCGTAGGGTTACTCCTAACTCAGCTGGTGACATAATAAGTGGGTGACAAGCTAAGGAAAACCCACTTTTGTTGAGATCAACTCAGGGCTCACTACTACAGTATGAAACCACCAATTAACTCTTTCGCTCAGAATGAAAACTTCAGTGGCAACAGGAAAATAAAAGGTCTTGTCATAACCTCATGTGGGTCATAGCAGTGTTTCTTCGTAGCAGTGCTGTCTCTAGCTCTCTCTCTCTCTCTGCAAACCTGTAGGTTTTTCTGATTTCCTTTCTACTTTCCAGTGATTCATACTCTCAGCACCACATTATACATTGTTAACGTTAGGGCGATTGTGCAAAAAAAAGATGCTGATTGTGCCACATGTTTCCAATGGGGGCTCAATGTGGAGAAGAAATTTCAGGTAACCACCCAACGTTATTGCATAATTCAATGTTAGTGTGGACTTTGTGGCTTCCTTATAGGAACAAAGACCAGCCGATTCCAAAAAAGGAAGAAAGAAGGTCACTGCTCATTATCTCAGCTGAAACAAATTCATAATGGTTCACCTTCGCACAGTGCAATGTTCACTGGCTTCAACCTCCAAGACACTGGAGAAAAGGACTCGACTTGCTCTCAGCCTTCTCTGCCTCTGTTCAATTGGAACAGGCTACACAGTCATGTTGTTGAAGCCGATACCTGGCCTCTTATAAAAAACAGCCATATGAGCTGCTCAGACCAATTAGCTACTAATTGCCAAATGAGTTAGATGGACCAAATGGCCTCCTCTTATTTGTATCCTCTCTTACTGTATGTTCTGAGTTCTAAGATTATGAATCAATGAATGGTTGGTGAAACTGTGAATATCACTCCCCGTGAGTCCACAGGCTCCTTGTGAATGCTGCATAGTGAACACGCTTTAAAGACTTAAAACATCTATTGTTAATGTCGTCCTTTGACATTGCTAGCCTAGCAAAAGCAACTCTGAAGCTTTAAGCTCAGAAATGCTTCAATCAATGAGGAACTTTCTAGGCACACGCAACATACCTTATACAACACATGAGCTCATCATTAGGATTCCAATTACTAGAAACAGATGTGATTATCTGTAAAAATTGACGATTATGAAAATAATCCCGGCATTTTAACCACATAGCTTCGGTGATTTTCAAAAGCTATGTTCAAAGCCAAAACCTATTTTCAGTTTGATGCATTAAGTGAAAGTGAGAAAATCTATCAGCCTCTTTTTTGACCTTTCATGCATGATTTCTTTAAAATACATCAAAAAGCACTGCTCATACCACCCCAATTTGTTTTTTTTTTCCATAGTATACGTTATACATACAATATTATTTTACAGTCAGTATTAGTATTTATAAAAGAAGTTGTTTCTCTTAAGTAGCTGCAAGCTGTTTGAATGATGAATTCTGGTAACAAATTAATACGAATATTGGAATAAGCAGAGACGCATCTCATCTTAAGAAGCAACCAAAATAAACCATAGATTTCTACTATGGAAAGATTTTTTCTTATTTTAGAAATCACACAAGATATAGGATGTCACACGCAACACCTCCTAAGACCTCTTAATGTCAAAAACAATAAAATCTTTGATATCTACGACAAATAAATACAAAAATATACCTATCCAAAAATGTCTTCAACAAAGCTAAGATGAGTTGTAACTTCAATTTCACTGACACTGAGTCGTTTTTGTTTTTCACAGGCTTTGTTCTCAAATGAAAAAGGTAAAACACTTGTGTTTTTTTTCTTCAGCCTAAAAACTGCAAACCCACATCAGCTTTCTGTATGTTTAAGGCACACTATAAATACTAGCACTCCTCTTTAATAGGGGGTCTTGGGATGACTGGTCATTAGATGGCAAAAGAAAAAGGCTTCAAGCAAGAATTCTAATGAAAAAAGGCAACATGTCATCTATAGAACATAAACACAGATTAAATGTAATCCTGTCCAAATGTTTTAAATATTAAAGTGAAATTTTAGGTTACATTTCACCAGTTCAATCATTTCTGAAGCAGCTTGATCCATTACCAAAAGACCTTCCCTTGTTTCACAAAGACACAAACTTTTTCTCAGCAGAAAGAGCAAGAGCTTGGGCTACACATCACACTTTCAGAATAAAAGGACTATTTAAGCTTCTTCACTTAAATGTACAATAGAAGAAAAGAGTTACGCAGTATACAAACTAAAATATAAACGCAAATGAAATCAAGGTAAAAAAAATCAATTCTGTTAAGAAGTTCAGCAAGGATTTGCTACAGTACACACAAAGGGTGTCTTCAGGGTAAACATGCAAACTCGTTAATTTTATTGTATTTTTTAAAAATATAACAAAAGAATGAAGCTTTGATCTTTATTACACAACTTCTCTTGTTATGCTGCATGACAGACAGAAGTGGGTGAAAACGTTTGACAAGGACAAAGTGCAAAACAGTTTTTCTAAAATTTACCTCTGTCCTCCTACCTCACAATTTCCCTTGACACTATCAAGTTGCTCTATGAGGAAGAAGGAGGAAAAAAGAACTTTTGCTGTCACCGTGGTGAAATACAATCCTTCGTACACAAAATTGCCACTTTAAAAGCTTGTGCAGGGTTGTTTTTTTTCTGTGTTACACCTGTTATCCGGGATGAGTGCCACCACACTCCCAGAAAAAGGGAGTGTAGACCAGGCTTTTATGTTCAGGGTGTTGCGTAAGTACACTGTGAGACGTGCCAGTTTCTCCAGCAACTAGAGAGTTCCTAACATTCCAGTCTCTTTCAGGTGGTAGACAGTCAGGGTCTGAGAGACAGAGACGCAGGAAATTTTGATCCTCGTGTTTTGTGCCTCTCTGTACGTTTGGAAACTGCTTTTGTGATGACTGAAAGAACAGAGTATCTAAGCGATAACAACAGCCTTAATGTTAAGAAAAAAATACATTTTATCTGAGGATAATAAAGTGGGTGGTACTGAATATTTCTATAAAGGTGTTTCGCTTTCAGATGTCAGTTTCATGTTTTTGACATTTGTCCCCTACTGTTACAATTGGCTTGCTGATGATATTCCTCTTCATAAAATGCTCATTCTCTTCATTCTCCAGACTAATGGGAGAACTGTTACACCAGCATAACACATATAAATACATGAATGTTCATGGATACAGATACGTTCCGTGTATATACATATTTTCAACAGAGAAACTGTAGTTAATAAACTCTGGTTTCTGTCAAAAACTTCAACAGGAAATGTAAAAAAAGTTCAATGATTCAGTTGAAAAAAAAAGAAAAATTACCTCCTCACCACTATACTAATAACCAAGTGCGGTATTTAAATGTCGCTTCTTTCACGTGTTATTCCAGGAATGGGCCTGGTGACTTCTTGTTAAGAAGACTAGGGCACCGGAACTGTGTATAGATGGCACAACAAAATATTCTAACCTCTATCCTGCTTGCTCTGAGCTGAAGGGTTCAGTGTTGCTAGTGGCTATTCTCTGTACTACTGTATATAACTTTAGATTAGTCATAGGAACCTAAAATGAGCTATTCCTTTTCTAATTATTTCCGTCCGGAGAAGGGTGATACAGCACTTACTGACCAAATCCAAACTGGCATGGGACCAGCCACACCCTCTTCAAGGAAATTCTTGGCACATATGGAAGTGCCCGTGAGATGTAAGAGCAGTAATATGATACGAGCAGTGATAAACATTTTACAGGACTGGGAAACATGGGGTCGGGGTCTGAATGCAGGCTGGAGGGCTCAGGGAGGACTAACCAGAGTGTGTCCGGAGGTGTCCGGTCAGGGCATCACGCCGGCGGCAGGCATAGCTGCAGAAGGGACACTTAAATGGCTTCTCCCCCGTGTGCAGTTTGATGTGTCTCAGCAGATTGCCCTTCTGGGTAAAAGAGGCACCACATTGATTGCACAGGAAAGGCCGTTCACCTGGAACAGAGGAAGCTCTCATTAGAAAAGAAGTACCTACTTCATTCACTCTGTTCCATGGGTCCCCCAGGGCAAACCAAAGACTAGTTAACACACTTACTTCTGTATGGAGCTAATGCTCAAAACCATTGAGTCTGAAATACTACATGCTTAATGGGTTTATATATAAACATTCAAAGACCATTTAATATGAATATATGAACATACAAACTGTATGCAGAGTTTGAATACTCTAAAATGCTGTATGGCACATAGTTCTTCAAAGGAGGATATTTCCATCCTTTTTTTGAGCAGGATTCTGAATGAATTTTGTTCTATTTCAGCAGGGTCCTCTTATGATCTTTATAAATGAGAAGAATTTCTCATCAAAGGAACTGTGTCCTAAGTGACCTGGATCTTGATAAGGAACCATGATATGTCAGCATGAAAATGGGCTAGAAACATATTCTACAAGATAAAAGCATCACAACAATGCACATCTCAGACTTGAGCAAACACATGAAACTCATGAAATGCAGTCCTACATTTAGGAATGACCATTCAATGACCAATAAGTAGATTTACTTGGGAAAAAAGTGTGTCAAGAGACACCATATTGCATTTCAACACTACAGCAATCCTCAAGAACTGTTATCGGTAATAAATAACCACACTGGCAATAAAGAAACAATGAGATTTTAGCTAATGTTAGAGCAATCGCATGGTTAACAGGACATTGTTTCTGACAGGACATACTGAAACGGAAACTCTTTCGAAGTAGAATCTGATATTTAAGCCAAAGATGGAGAAGAAATTTGCAATCTGTGCAAAGTAAAGAACTACAGTATATTGTTATGTACAAACGTCCTGATGAATGCCACAACTTTCACTTGTTGCTTTTTGTCAATATTGAGCTGCATTGACGTTATACTCTTTAACAAGAAGGCTACTGTAAGAAAGCATATGGTAATTTAATAGCGAATTAATTAATAAGTCAATAAATGCAAGTCTTTTAATTATGGTTTGAAAAAAGAGCCACAATCAATTTTAATACCAACTTATAAATATATTTGTTTCTGCATGAGTAAACAAGCCTTTTGAGATTAATTTTGCTTATTGCTCAAAAACAGACACAATACTCTGAAATGCCTTTCTTGACAATCTCTTTAATATAATGTACATTCCTCCCACATAGCCAGTTCAAGTATGAGCTGTAAAAAGTGACAAACAGTGCAGTCCATAAGTATCTGGACAGTGACACCATTTTTGCTGTTTTGGCTCTGTACTCCAGCACATTAGATTTGAAACGAAACAGCTGTATAAATGGGTGCAAACTTGAGTTGCATTGGATAAATGCATCAGGCAAAATTAATTCGTAATAAGGAGCACAAAATCTACATTGTAATGTGGTTAAACTATAGAGCTAAACCAGAGGGAGTCGCAGGATGAGACTGCTACTAAAATAAATAACATGATATTTACTTGTATAAATCTTGTTTAAACTGGTGGAATTTGAAAACTAAATAATCTCCCATTGCTAAAGCATGACACTCAAGAATACCGTAAGACAATAACGAGATAGGGAAGATACCATGAATGTTCTCCTTGATAATACATCCAAAGCAGGATTAATTTTATCCTGAATATCAGCCATCCCCTTGTCCCTTTAAACTACTGTTTTGAGAATTTTACAAGGATCATAGCAATCATAGCAAGACCACAAGCAATCATGGAAAACATGTAAAGTTTATGTAAAAACACTTATTATGCACAAGGTTAATAACAGCACTTTGCAGCAAACAAACTTAAACTTGACACATTTCTACAAATTTTAATGCACAGTTGCTATTTATTTGCTGATTTTAACAGGTTGAAAAAAAATAAAACAGTAAATGTGGCATGTGCAGTCAGTACTTAGTAACACCCCCTTTGGCAGAAATCAAAGCCTCCAAATATTTTTTGTAGCCAGCTAACAGTCCTTCTATTCTTGCTTTAGGAAATATTTCCCAGGATTTGTTGACACATAGTAGAATCCATTCTTCCCTCTACCTGCACAATATTTCCTGTGTCGCTGGCTGCCACACAACCCCAAAGCATAATAGATCCAACCCCATGCTTAACAGTTGGCAAGGTGTTCTTTTCTTCAAATGCTTCTCCTTTTTTTCTCCAAACGTACCTTTGGTGATTGTAGCCAAAGAGCTCAATTTTTAGTTGCACACTCCAGACATTGAATTTTGTGATGAGATCGCAGGTTAGGTTTCCTTCTGATGACTCTTCCATGCAGATCATGTTTTTGCAAGCAACGCTGCACAGTGGACCAGTGCACCAGTACTCCCGTGCCACCTAAACCTTCCTGCGGGTCCTTTTGCAGTGATAAGGGGGTTTTGCTTTGCATTCCTGACCTGTCTATGAGTAGTTCTATTGGAGATTTTTCTTGGTTTTCCAGATCTTGTCTTGACTTCAAGATTTCCCCTTAACTTCCATTTCTTAATGACATTTCGGACAGTGGAAATTGCAAGCAGGAAGCGTTTAGATATATTTTTAGACCTATCCCCTGCTTTGTAAGAGTCACTTATCTTTAATTTCTGATCAGCTGCTTAGAGGAGCCCATGGTTGATGAGTGTAACCTGAGAGGTTTGAAGAGTCAGAGAATTTATGAAGCTCTGGAATTGTCATCACCCGACTTAGATTAAGGCCTAACGAGTCAATTAAGTTCTGAGACCTCACAAAAAAATAACACTAGTGGAAGAGTGTCCAAACGTTTGCACATGCCACACTTACTGTTTTATTTTTTTCAATCTTTTAACTTAGCAAAGAAATAGTAACTGTGCATTAATATTTACAGAAACATGTCAAATTTAAGGTTATTCAGTGCTAAGGTTGTGTTCACTTCTTTCACTTAGAAAATCAAAAAAACATGTAATTTGGCAAGGGGTGCCCAAACTCTTGCATACAACTGTAGGAGCAACACTAGGTTGTCAGGAAATGTAAATGGGAGGAGCACTATAGATACATAGAAAACTACTTTTGAAGGTGTCATGGCCAGCCGACTATACTTGGTCAACTGAGATAGAATCAATGTGGATAAAGTCATTGGAGACACCAATGTGGATGAAGTGGACCAACATTTAAAAGAGTTTTGCTGCCTGAACAAAACTAATAAGACAAGGACTGTCTTGAAATAAGTGTTGAGGCACATTCAAGGTATAGTTGATAGGAAAAGGATAGGTTGATAGGTCGTTTGTCCTGGCTGCTTACCAACAGTGATCATTCCAGTGTTTCTTAAGGACACTGGGCTCAAAACATTCTATCCCAAACACATCACATTTCTGTTTACCGTTGGGCAGTCGGATCCCTGCGTCACCCGGCCCTTCCCCTCCCTGGCCGCTGTCTTGCAGGCCATTGGGGCTGTCAATCATGGGGTCCTCCAATCCAGCTCCTTCCTCCCCGCCTGGGACCACCTCCTCAAGGCCCAGAGCTTGCCTCTCCACCTCTTCTTCTGTCCCAGCCTCCTGCTTGATCTGTGCTGTAAAACAACACCAGTGTAGGGTTGGTCATTACTATTTATTGACCTAAATAGTAACTAAGTTACTAAGAATTGAATTTGCTCAAATAAATTACTCATCTCAAGCAACTTTTTTTCTTCTCTAATGCATGCAGAATTTCTTCTCAGTTACGCCTACTATTAATGATTGCTGGAGGCTTATATACTTGGAGCATTCAGAACTCAGCATGACCCTGTGACAAACATAGGAAGGATGAGAATACCGATGAGATGAATAGCATGCTCACCCCACAAGAGCTCATGTTCAGAGCTACATAGTATAACAAAATGAACACTGAAGTCGTAAAGTTGACGTAACCAAGAAAACAGATTGACCAGTAAGACCGATAAACACCCGCAGTCCTCAGAGACCCTGGTGTGAAATCCCAGCCTGGGCTGTCTCACGATCTATCAGTCCTCCTTCACACAAACATCTTGTTCCTGTCACACTTGAGTGGGGAGCCTCTTAGCACACGTGGGAGAGTGAGACAGGTGTCAGCCTCACAAGGTTTCCACTTGACTGCTTCTTCGCAAAAATGGGAGATTTAGTAGAAAACACTGGTGGCTCATTTCACAGCTCTCTTAACTCAAGTCCTAGGAGCCTGTGAGTAAGAACTGTACGGCCATAGCGGAGCTTAATAGGACACTTGAAAGAATCGCTCTTGTGCCTCAGCACTCTCACTATTTCTCACTCATGGGTGAGAAGGTGCAGTGTCAGCTAAAGCCTATAAATGGAGACTATCAACAGGAGGTTATGTACAGCCACACCACAAAAACTGTGCATGAACACCAAAAGGGTGCAACACTTTTGACATGTTAAGAAATCATGTTAAGAGCCAGGGAGACAGCCGTGATCTGGGTGCCATGAATAAAAGCTAACATATGCAGCTTACACTATAACTTGTAACTGTATTATTGCAAGTCGATTCTCCTTCTGAATCTGTTATTATCATATTACACTTTTTATTTTTTCTTGATGGACTAGACATACGATGGTAAAACAGTCTTTCCCTTTAAAGAATCCTGTCAAGCCTAAAGATCGGTTTGGTGTCGCCAGTCATTTGTTTTGCAATAGTGTTATCTTCGAAGATTGATATAAAGATGTATATTAAAGGATTATCTGATTGCTTAACCTCATACATCAGGTAGAAGTGTTTTAAAGTAAATAGCTTGGAAACATTTAATACTGTTAAGCAGTCAGGCTATTTATCTTATATGTATTAAATTATTTCATAATCTGTTTTTCTCTAAGAATAAACTATAGGTCTTTTGGGAGGGCTACATTCCTCTGTCATGTGAAGTCCTGATAATGTGGGCCAACAAACGAACAAATGAAATCGGCGTGAATTTGACAACTGCATACAAGGGCGTGGGCATCAACTGTGTCATCTTAGTGCCAGAGGGAGGGGCTTGTACCAAGTTTCTTTGAACATACTGTAGGTAATTCCAATCACAAAGGAAAGAGAGTGAAATGAGTTTGCAATAAACAAATCACTGCAGAGTAGGAGGTGAAATTTGGTAGCCGACCATGATTTGCTGCCATACCCTTTAAGAGCCCGCTTCCTACACTGATTGGGCATTAGGCAAGTAGGAAAGGAAAAAAATGCTGGTTTCACAGTGCCTACTGCATCCTACAGAAAAGCTGAGGACACACTATCAGGGCTGCAAGAAGCACAGGCTCACATCTTCCAAATCAACTTAAAGAGTGGCTTGGAAAACATTTGCCAGAACTGTGTCTACAGGAGGCAGGGGGCAAGGAAATCAGAGATTCAAGGCATGTGATTAACACTGCCCATCCTCAGCAGGAAAGGGAGAACATTGTTAAACACCCTCCATATTTCTGTTGTAATTTTTCTAAACACTAATTTGTATGTCTGATTGGCAGATACTGAGAAGCAATAAATATGCAACAAAAGAGAGACGGAATCATTTTTAACACCTCTGAGTATGTATGAGCGTTGCTTCTTCTCTTTTCTGTTTTGTTCACGATAAACACTATAGATGTGAAATTCTTAAATATATGAAACCGCCATGCAGATTTTATTACTTTGTACAATTAATCAATCATAAATGCACTTTAGATATTCCCATTATTAGCTAGTATCTGCACCTTAATTGACTTTATTTCATGGTATAACATTCATCACAAATTAATTAAAATATAATTAGGCAACTCTCCGGGCTGTAATATTTAAACAACAGATGTTTAATATTGAAAGAATCCATCTAATACTTATTTAATGTCATAATAATTTGGTAGCAGTGTTAACTGAATGACAGCTTTATGATTGAGACAAGTACAATTACTGCCTTCTTCAGAATACTGAATATAATTTTCTTCTTCAAAATTGAAGGCATCTTACAAATGCCCTGTGATTAGAAAAAAGACTATGCAATTATGATATCAGCTTCTTCAACAAATAAGCTTTTTTTTCCCCTTTAAACAACCTATTACTGTGTATGTCTAATATTAGTAGTATTTTCTAGTCTAGTATTTATTATTGATAAACGATGAGTATGCTATGTATCTTTTTGCAGCACTGGATCAGTCTCTGAACACACACGGGCAAGGCTGTAGGTCAAATCGCAGGTGGAGCACTGCTGTTGTAGCACTGAACAAGGAACCTGAGATGGGTACAGTAAAACCTCGAAATGCGTACAAATGTAAATCTCTTATTGCATTGGATTAAAACATTAGCCGAATCACTACATTGTAAGTCTAATCAAAAGTGAATACCACTAAAATTAGTATGTCTGTATAGCTGATCAGACTATTATGTACAGTATTTACAAACAGATATACAAATATCAACACTTGCGCACACACAATCTTCACTTAATTTCAATGATTTTTTTTCTCTGTTCTGTCTTCCTTCTGTGACTTTTCGTTTTTGTGCAACTTTGCAGTTCCTGTTCAATGGCCCTGCGTGTGGTCTGCAGACTTGTTTGCCCTGTGGATTGTGCTGAGAAAAGGCTTCTTATAAAAAGCAAACATGACACTTACACCCTTTGTGCCATCTTCAAAGCCAAATGCACTGGGTAACATTCATGAACTCATGACTAAAAAGTTGTGTTGACTACTGTCACTATTGCTAATGCTGAAACAATATACAAAGCCGGGTTCCTAAACTACACTACAGCACAAATAGGATATACATTTCCTTCTCTAAAAATATTACCTTTCATGACTTAAATTCAAGAGATTCATCTGCAGACATAAATATTATCCCCTTCCATCTAAAAAAATAATAATAAAACAATAAGGTTATGCATTTCTTATTTTTATTAAACTCTAGCTTGGCCTTTTTGTCTAATATTTTCTCTACTGAAAGTATTGAACACTCAATCCCAGAAAGTGCTATTTAAAATGCTAGAGTTTATTAGCTAATTTTAGATCTGAGCACCTTATTAAACTCTGCTTCTATATCATCCTGTGTGGCAGAAGTGAAGACACACATACCCCCAAAAATCAGGTGACATTTTTGTGTGATGTTTCCAAAACCAAAGAGTGCACTTATTACTAAACTCAAGTTTGAGTTTTCTTTTGAAATCATGAAGAGCTCATGACACATGACTGATGTTGAAATTTACTTTGAGCACTTTACTATTCATTAATAAAAAATAACGTTACCCTATGTAAAGCTGACAACGGCGGGATCTAATCCTCTCAATATTAAACGTCCATGAAGATGACCCCAAACATACTTCTAATAAGATCCTCTTAAAAACAAATTGGAGATGAAAGCTAATTCCTCCTGGAACACCTGTACCACGAAAAGGAGTCACACGTACATTTTTGCATTCTTACCTGATCATAAAACTGAACATACCTACCTTGAACACTTTGAAATCTAGCAATTCCTGTTTCCTTTTAAGATAAACCTTTTAGCAAATTTCAGGAATCAAGTTATGTACCACTTAAAGGAATCTATCTTTGATCATACTAAAATATCTGTACATTCTTTGTGACATGATAATTAAACCCCTACTGTTCAATCAAACCTGCCTTTTTTCTTTTTGTTCAACATGGCAGTTTAAGAGTCTTTGTACTGATGGCGAAATTTCTGCACTGGCAAACCTAGGCTGTCGCAGAAACAGCTGACAGTAACCTGCTGCTCTCTGCTCTGACTCTGTCATCTGCTAGAGAGAGCCATCTCTCTCTCTCTCCACCCCCACACCACATATACTGTACACTGTCTGTGTGAAGATCAACTAACTAAGATAAATATTTAAAGACAACCACCAAGCAAAATGAGCAGTAATTTTTTTCAGATTGTTATTTGTCAACTAGAAGGAGAACCATATTTTCATTGTTAACTATACTGTAGTTCATCACGCATGTGTAAAACTCAAAGCAAACATTTCACACTAAATTGGGAAAAGAAAGAAAATGTGGAAAGGAAAGAAAAGCCTTTCTGAGGCTTTTCCTAATGCTGCCCACCTCACAAGTGGCATGCACTAACAAATGGTAATGCACAAATACAAGGGATTTATGTGACCAGATGTATATTACATCCTGTTTAACTTTTCCCAAGAAAGAATAGATTTCTAAACCTGTTTTTGTATCCTGGCAACAGTGCAGAAAATTTAGAGGTTCTGTAGGGCAGTGCACTTCATGAAGTGTTACAGTGTTTGTACTAACAGAACTTGAAATGGTTTCCATGGGAACACAGAGACAAATCCAAGTAAAGAACATCTCTCCCAAGGATCAAATTAAGGCCTGAAGATCACAATGCCAGTATGCATGTGGAGAATGTGCCACACAGAAAAATCTATGTCTTTTTCTTAATGTGATGCAAATATACCTGCAGACACCACTATCCCAACAAAGAGCTTAGAGAAAGTTAAAAGAGCCCTTGCATTTGAATTTTTGTATTGCCTTGTAGCGTCTATCAGATAGATATCAAAGACATTTTTATTTAATCTTACTTACATACTGAGTGTAAAAATTAGACAATTAGCCTACATATCAAACAGCTACTTGTTTTTTTTTTCATGTAGGTATATCACCTTTGTTTCACACACGAATGGCTATATTCTTACAGAAATAAACTAATTCAAAAGTCAGATTTGGATCAAAAGATGATTCATAACCTTTCTCAGAAGATGCAGTCTTTCACTTTCCTATCACTTTTCTAAAGTTAGGTGCAGAAAAAAGGCAGACCAATACCAGCTGACATAAAAGTCTGGGCTGAAAGCAACAATTTGTGCCATGCACAGATAAGAGGGCTCAATTAGCCTAGTCCCCAACCCTAGTATTGAGAAACCTGTTCCCAGCCTGCCTGCAGGGCCATCCAGCCCCTTCCTGACACCAGTGGCCTGCAGCCAAACAGTACAGCCTCCTGAGCCAGAAACAGGCACATACCTTCGAGTGGGAGTGCCTATGGAACCCAGCTCAAAAGAGCAAAAGAAAAAAGAGAAGAGTGTGATTGAAGCCTATAGTAGGTGCACCCCATTTACACATTTTGCAGAGGAGCTGCAACAGTACCTGCCAGTGAACGAAATTCACACTTCAAAAGCAATTACAACTCAAAAGCTACAAAGGCAAATACCCGGATTTGCACATTTAGTTTTTTTAACCTTACATTGAATTCACGCTCATTCCTAAAGGGTGCATCTTCACCAGCATGTGTAACTAGCATGGTGCACACAGCAAGAAAATACTGTTCTTAGTATCTTCTATAACAGACCTTAATATTAATATATATAGTTATGTACATATGAACAAATCAATCATTGTGTTTACCTTCCTTATGGGATTTTAAAAAATACACAGTCAATAGCCATATACATTTTTCTCAGTAAAGTCCAGATTGTACATAAATGCTAAGTACTTACATGAAATATATTTAATTCACCGCATCCCACAGCTTAGATCATGTTGGGGTCTATTTAGAAATCTTACATAGCATGCATGAACTTCTATACTGTACTTACTGTATGTCCCAATTAATAGCTCAATGCACAACAATGCTAGTTCTGAGATGGATTTACAGTACGTACAGTACCTGACACCAGCTTTGGCCCGAGCCATCGACTGTATATCACATAGGGGAATTGCATGAAATCAGCAAAAAGCACAATATGTCACGCCCTTTAAGAGCAACACTGCGCAAGCTTCGAACGTCACAGGGCTCAACAGACAAAAGAGAACATGGGACTTGTGAGTCACGTTTTAAACTGCTGGCTGTTTTTCAGTTCTGGTTCCATTGAAGACATTTTTTCACCTTTGAAAATCTATGAACGTGCTGTCCTAGCATGTTTTATCAGAGGACCGTGCTGCAATTATCAGCACCCATTTCTCGGGGCACGCCATCTTGACTGGAAGATGAAACCGTCTTTATTAGGCAACGATCAACAACTCCTGCCATGAAGGTACACCAGCACCTTCTCTCATATGACAAAATATGTTTCTTCCACAGAAGTTGACACAGTAGGTGTTTTTGTAAGAAACCTCCATTCTCTAGAAATGTGAATAACAGTATTAGAATATCAATCGCAGGATCAGAGTCCTGCTTTTATTGTCCCTGCAAGATGCTGATTAATAACGAATGCTGTGCTTCCCTTTTTCATTGGACCATCTCACGATGACATGCTCAACATTATCAGATGGCTGGTACTGCCTATCAGTTCTTTGTTTTTCAGTTCACTTTAGGGATGAGATATTTTGGAACTGGAGGTTATACAATCAGATAACGGGTAAGGGGAAAAAAAAGGTTACAACATGAAATTAAAGCCAGCTGTGTTGGCCTCAAAAATGTCTGCTCCGTTCAAATGCACAACAGTGCAACTTCAGAGATGAATTACATTTCATTTCTTTGTTCAGAATTGTCATGTGCTTATGTGGACTACCAGAAAACAACAAGGGATACACAAAACAAACACAGGTTTCAATTAAAGAAAACTGAAGATGATTCCTTTCACTGGGACAGCAAAGTCTAAACTTTTATTTTTTAGACTGGCGATTATCCTAAAGGCAGGTATAAAAGACAACACAATACACAATATAGTTAACACAACATGAACCCATTAACAACAAAGAAACATACGTGGATACGAGCAGAAAAAAGGTTAGCAGCTTAAGTACTGTAACCTTCACAAATAAAAAACATAGAAACTGGATCATCACATGCATGATGAAAAAATAAAATAAAAAAGGACATAGCACTTAAATTTATGTAGTCTAAATTGATGCTCTGATGGAAGAAGCTCAGGTTCAGTGCAGGTGGTGGTCATGACAGTCAGTGATTATACTGGCCTTCCACACTATTTGTTTGATGTAGATGTCTGCCAGCTGAAGCTGTTCTGCACCGATTATTTTGCTGGCTCCTTCCACTGTAATGCATTAGCTAATATGAATGCACTACATAACAGCCATTGTATATTTGGTTAAATCCATGGTTACAATTCATGATATTTGAACAAATAGTCCGCAAATGTCGGAATTCATTCTGCTGCAGCCATCATTAGTTACTTCATCATTAAAGATGTGAGATAGTTCCAGTGGTGACCAATCAAAAACAAATGTATCATCCTCTCATTCATATTAATCTCAAACAGAAATGTTTGACTGCAAACAAAAATAACAGTTGATTTTACTGTCCTAATACATTGCAGAGCACTTTGTGTATATATTATTTCTCCTAACCTGGAATATTTTTAACATAGAGTCTCATATATATACTGTACATATACATATGAGTACTCACAGAGGTTATATGAAGGAAAATGAACTCACTATTGGTGTGGAGTCCTAGAGGAGAGTGTCGCCCATTGGGTGTATTTGAAGAGAGGTCCACCACCATCCTGGAGTGGTCTTTCCTGGGAGAACAGTCACCATTACCTGAGAGACAAGAGAAAGGGCACTTATTTAAGAGTAAAATGACTGCCTTTCAAAGTGTAGCATTAATAATCTCTCATACAAACAATATTTGCATAAACAATTCAGACCTTGTGTATACCAGACTGTTTTCTGTGTCATCTATATCTGTTTTGAATTGTTTTAAACATTGTCTAAATTAACTGAACGTACTGACCAACCCTTAAAAACTTTAACAATGTAACAATTCGTCTAAAATTCTGGGCATCACATACAGTACAAACATCATATGTACATTTCCTTCACAGATGAATTTGAAACTGAAAAAAAAACCCACCAGCAAGAGATAAGAGAGGTAATTACTGTATGGGAGTGATGAATTATGCTATAAGTACCTCCTAAGAATGATACTGTTTGTATTTTCTGTGTACTTTAGACTGTATCTGTACCACATCTGTATTATAACACAGATTAATAAACATACTGTAATATAAATAAAAAAAGCATCAGAAAACCAGAAGTCTGAATTAATGCATAGGTTATTAGTAAAAAAGTTACTTTGGCAGGGTTTGGCAGAACTCCTTCCACAATATATTGTTATTAATAAGTTACTGGGTTATATTAATAACAGAGTAACATATTGGGGCTGTCCTGTTAACAGCATGATGTGTGACCCAAGAAGCAGAGAATAAGATACAGAATAACACAGAATTCCCTGTTAGAAATTATTAAATAAAATAAACAAGGAGCAAGAAGGATTAACATCTCATACACAACCTACAATATCTTGTTTTGGTAGTTCTTTTTTGATAATCGAAAAATACTATTCCACATCTATAGATGAAAAACTCCATCTTTGTAATGTTAATTAATGTTTTATTATAATTATTACTGAGGTTGGTGAAACAGCTCAAAGACTGGTAGCATTAACATCTTTCTTTCAAAACCTAACGGGGTCCTCACTGGTCCTTTGTGCAGCAGCATAGAACAGGTGGTCCAGTGCACTGGACTCCTAAATGGACTACATTTGAGAGTCTCTCTATTCCTGATGTAAGTGGATCTCCAAGCAGTTAAGGGAAATGAAGATATGCTATCAATTAACTTATTTGGTTACATTAAAAAAAATGTGACTTGTCCTCTTGGAAAGGAAAAGTATGTGTACGGTGTACAGCTGTACAGTGCATCAAATGAACACCTATACATCCATCCATTTTCTAAACTGCTTTATCCAATACAGTACGCCAAGAGCCTATCCCAGCAAGAAATGGGGTCAAGGCAGGATACACTCTGAATAGGACCCCAGACCTTCGCAGGAACACATATGCATAAACTAGTAAAACATTCCAGAGCAGCCCTTACTGTGTTTGTGCTTTTCAAATGTAAAGAACAGGTTTCCAGAGGTCTTATGGTCATTAGATGATGGATCTCGGTATGCTGCCCCAGGGAAAACTCCACCTTTCTGCGGAGTTTCAGGCATTAACCTGATACCCAGAGGAACGCGGAGAGCTCTCGTTTTCAATCCCCTGGTGAAAAATGACAGCCAGGGGAACAAAAAGTATTATCCTTGTGCTAACTTGCTAAGACCTTTCCAATAGCATGCCTTTTACATGCCAGCCCTCTTTAAGTTAACCCGCTGACCACAACCCTAACAATCTTTGTAGACAGAATATTCTTTGTGGACAATACACATGCCAAAGTTTTTTTTTCCATAGTTTTAATTTATACAAATCATTCTTGGTATGAATTGAATATTTTAAACTTAGAATTACGAGCTAGTTCAAGATATGTAAAACATTGCTTCCAATATATAAGAGTACAGTATTCCACAACATTGTTGTCTGGAATCTACATCAAATGTGCTTTTCTATATAATTGCAGAACTCAGTAATGGAACTATCTAGTGTTCCACTAGGCAATATAAGGTGTATACATCAGACATTAATCCTGCAGCTTTCTCAGCAAATCCATCTAGTATTATAAAGAGCCCTGTTTGGAAAAGAAGCCAATTGCCAGATTGGTTCTGAGTTGTGACTGAGTCTTTATTAAAATGAGTTCATGCTAAGTGTAGCAGCTCTCATGTGAGTTAACTGTAAGCAGAAAGAAGTAATTTGCCATTCCACAGAACTGATCATGAGAAAAAGTTATATTCTGCAATAAACTGAAGAGCCAGAAAGCACATAAGAAGAGAACAGCTTTTGTAAGATTTGGAATTGCATGTCAAATATATGCCTTTAGTAAAGCTATTTTACTGCTATACTTTTACTATTGTTCCTACTGGATACTCCCCAGTAAGTGTGGTGAAAATGTAGTTTACATTCTTGTACCTCATTATTTAATGAAACACCAAGAAGATTTTCAATGTACACCATTGTACACATTTCCAATGTGCACCAACCCATAACAAACATTAATACTGCAATCACTCTGGTCAAAGATAACTGTGACTGGGATTCCCTACAATCTCTTAAGTATGATTGGGCTCGACAGGATATTGCTCAAATTCTTTTCAGCAGTGATCCATGTGGCTTACGTCTATGGGTTCGAGCAGGCTTGCAGCAAGACGAGTGAGACAACTATTCCACATTTCATTTCAAATATAATTAAGTCAAAGCTCTACTAGAGTCATATTCATATGCAGAGCTGATCATCAACTGTCAATTCCAAACTGGCAGGGAACAAAAAAGGCTGCAGTATTAGCACATTTAAAAATAAAAAAACCTATATCCAACATCAACTCCCCGTGACTGATCAGCAAATTTGCATTACCACACTTCATATTATATAACAGCATTCTTACCTGTAGGAGTCTACATTGCCTTATTATGAAACTATCTGCACTGAATTATGAAAGGCAAGACTTTTCCATTCTCAGAAATGTAAAGAAAGTAGTAAAAACAGGAAACACATAAATTATGAAGGCAATATATTCTTTGCTCTCCCAGCATCTATATATTGTTTCTTTATGTTGTACTACATATGATTCCAGCTTGTACTGTATATATGTGTGTGTATAAAACTGAATACCAAGCCTTATTTAATCCTATAGCAGGATGAAGGGCTCCTGAGCAATAAAACTTACCCCAAGCTGGTAAGAAGGGTTGGGGTCTAGTGCAATACAAAAGTGTAAGCACAGGGTGCTGGCAACAATGCTTGCTAAACACTGTTACTAAATGCCCTACTAGAGACCAGCCTGGCCAATATATGTATATACTGTACAGTATACTGGGTGTTTCTTTAATTCTCTGACTATTACACATGGCTATAATCCAGTTACTTTAGTATGATAAACAAGTTAGCAGGTAAATCATCCATAAGAACTGGAAATCTACACTCCGTTTCACAGCACGTTCACATTCCACAAGTGTAACAGATCTTGTACAAACACTTGTTACAGTGAATTATAGTGTTAAATTCTCTCATGACAAGAAGGCTGCCCTCCGCTGTCTGTCAGGGGTGATGCTGTCTATCTAGCTTGTCGGGATGGCAGAAGTCTGAGAGACGTTGGATGAAATCACAGCTGGGCAGGGGCTACCTGCCCCACACAACCTTAAAGTCGCTTTCCATTATACACACTGAAGATTCTCTGCAAAAGCAAAACTACTCAAAACGTTGCTCTGGCGCTGCCTTCAAATCACTGGTACTCAGATCACCCTGGAAAAACCTGTCCTTTCAAATATCCCCCTCCAAAGTACACTTCTAGTCTCACACAACTGATTAGCTGTCCAGACAGGTTTACTACAGTTGCAGCACTAAGAACCTCAGAACGTCTGTGACAGTTTATTTTCACTGTCGCAACAGAATTTTTATCCTGAAAAACATCTAAATAACGGGTGTCAATGTGGGATTGAGGGTCAAGTGGAAACAAACACCCGCAGACACTCCAGGACTCAGGAGTAGTCCAGGACCAGGATTGTGAGCCACTGTTCCAGACAATATAGGGATGCATAAACAAGATGGAATCAGAAACACTTAAGGGCCTCAGAATTCAAACCAAGCGATGTAATGCATGGTGACACACGGTTTAACAATACTGTCTTGCAGTGCTAGGGTAATGCAGGGTTCAGTTCCAGGCCCAGGGCACTAACTAAATAGTTAAATCGGCTTCTGGGAAAATTGGCCCTGCTGTGAGTTTGAGCTTGTCTGTGTGTGTGTGTTCGTGTGTTCGTGTGTGTGTGTGTGTGTTTCTCTGCATTTTTCCTTGCAATGGACTGGTGTCATGTCCAGGGTGTACCCTGCCTTGCACCCGCTAATTGCCAAGATCCTGAATTGGAAGAAGCAGTTCCAAAATTGAATGGATTGATGATGTAATGTTAAAATTGTATAATGTGCTAGGAAAACTCACAACTGTGTTCACCAAGGAACAAGAAAGATGTTGCTGCTTTGTAATCACTCCAGGAAAGACCAAACAAATACATCACTGGCTTATAGGTATGTCCTAAAGCAGCAAACTAAAAGAACGCAATCTTTTTCATCTTCATCAGAGAAGACTACGAAGCAACCAATCCAAGTATTCCAAACAATGACAGGTATAAACCTGTTAAACGTCTTCAGGACCAACAGCGAAAAACAAACCACAGGACTCTGCATGGAAGTATTTAAAACTGAGAACAAAAGACAGTTTATTACTAAAAGAGTTGTGGATGTCTGGAACAACAATCCATTCAGCCATTTTGTTGAAACAAATATCCTGCCTCCTTTCATCTTTCTCAGATCCATGTGCTACTGGGAACCAAACAAGATGAACGATTATAATGGCCTCCCAGCTTTGTACATGAGGTTAGCATGCTTACATGCATGATCATGGTGATATATAGCTTACACATCATCTTACACATCAACACAAATCATCTCACTTTATTACAGATAAGTCAATTGGGTTGAAGAAGTGACTATGGCACAAAATCACCAATAAAACTATACATTCATTTCTCCTGAACTATTTAGTTTGGGACCTTCTTGTATTGCTGTCTGCTGATCAATATAGGCATCCTTAAAGTAAAAGACAACCACCATCCTTCCATTAA